ACACGTCGCACTCGAAGGTCTCCTCCTCGACGATGTCCTCGGTCCTGCCGTCGCCGGCCACGAAGACGTCTTCGTCCGAGTCGCTCTCGTAGACCGTGACCACGTCGCCGCGCTTCTCGCCGTCTTTGCCCTTGTGCTTGTGGTCCCGTGGAGGTGGACGGCGTTGACGTCGCGGCTTCTTGCAATCTCTGCTGAAGTGGCCGACCTCGTCGCAATTGTAGCATCGCACTCGCTTCGCCATCGCCTTTGTGTCCGGCTTCTTCGGACCGAAGCCCCGAGCCAGCTGCTCCTTCGTGATCTTGTTGCGCTGATCGCGCCAGGACACAAGTATCTCAATGGCCTCACTCTCGTCCAGGATGTCCCCGTCCTCGGTCTCCTCGATCACGTCGAAGCCCGCCAGCAGCGCCGTGATGTCCGAGACGTCGTCGCTCTCGTCGGCCTCTTCTTTCGCCACGTGCGCCCCGAACGCCTTCGACTGCTGGCCGAAGTCCGCCAAGCCGTTGGGGTACGTCGTCCTGAGCGCCATCGCCACGTCCTTTTCCTTGTATGATCGGCTCGATGCTGCCAGGACGACCGCGAGATTCTGCGGCGCCAGGTGCACACCCAGCAGCAGTAGGTACCCACGCGCCATGTCCGGCAGCACTACACCCTCGGTCTCGCCCTTGGCGAACGCCGCCTGAGCTCGACCACAGTAGGCCGCCATCGACTCGCCCTTGGCCAAGCGAATCGTGAATACCTCTTTCAGCGCTTCTCCGAGTCGGTCGTGGGCTGCCACGTCGGGGAAGCGTGAGTCGAGAGTCTCGAAGATGAGCTGCTCGCCGCCATCTTGTTCTAGATCGTCCATGTCGACAACCTCCAGCGCTCTGGCGGCGACGTCGTCCAGCAGTGTGAAAAGCATTGGCCCTAAGGCCGTCGCTGGCGTCCCCTTCGCCTTCTGCACGATGAGGTACGCCCGCGCCCACTTCTTCCAGGATCGGTATTCCCGAAAAGCGTCAGCTCCACTCCCGGCGAACCTCCTGATCGCGCCGCCGGGGCCCCCGTTGTCCGTGCTCATCACCTTCTTCTAGCGTCCCGCCGGCACTCGCCTGAGTGCCTCCCGGTGCGACAGCGCCTGCTATCGCGCGGCACGCTCCGCTCTACCAATGCAGATTGGGCTCCGAGGAGGGAGCGCCTGCTCCCTCTTTTCCACACCTGTGGCAAGCCAAAATGCTGCAGCATCAACACGCACATGCACGACAGTAACATACACACCAGGGGCCTCCCCGGGGCCCTGAGATCAGCAATATGGGAGGTGGGGGGAAAACACAACAAAAAACAGAAAATACAGAAAATATAAGGGAATATGTTTATTTGTGTGTATTTGTGTGTGTGTCCTGGGGCCCCTTCAGCATGGTGCTGCTTGTCAGTCCCAGGTCCCTGGATACTTGGGGTGCCATGTGCGGAGCTTCAGGGGCGGGATCTGCCGCAGCACCCTGCGCTCGTGGTTCACGGCCGCCCTGCGCCCCCCCCGCACGTGCGCCCTTCCCTTCCTCTCCTCTTACCGCCGGCTCCGAGCAGCACCTCACGCTTCCCGTGCCTCCCCCGCTTCTCCATGACCGAGGCTAGTTCTTAACGGTTTTTAGGCGACTTGCTGTTGGCAGGGATGTGCAAAGAAAGAGGGTGGGCCACCCGTCAAACCGAGGCTGGGATCAACACAAGCACCCGCTTTCGGGGCCACGCTGGCACCCTCTGTGGGCTCTTTGGGAGCCCCCGGGGCCATCAGGGTGCTCTGCTCTCGCGGCCAGCCTGCGTGCGCACTTCTGTAGTTTCGCCTGTTGCTCGAATCATGCTTCTGTTTGTCCGGATCCCGTACGCACTGTGTCTCGAGGTCTTCTTGGAGTTGCTGCATCTTGGGAGTACACCTTAGGCGATGCTTAAGAACACCTATTTTTTCGGCCAGAGTTTCGATAATTCTTAAACTTTTCAATGTAAATGTTCAAGATGTTGATGGAAGCTCTGGGCTTTTATTCAAGTTCTGAGACTATGCATTTCTTAACCCATGATTTCTTAAGCATTTCGCAGGGTGTAGGTTTCGATGCCTTGGCGGCCGTCTGAGGGCCTTTTTCTGGGCTCTCCTGGTGTGAGTCATGGGGTTCCCCTGAGGCCTCAGAGGACCGCCGGAGGCCGGAGCCAGGAGGGCTTCAGGGGCATCGCCCGGTGCTCTGGCCACTGCGAGCCTCGGTGGGGCTCACCCACGGGGACCTCGGCCTCTCGAGAGGAGGAGGAGGAGGAGGGGGAGGGGGAGGAGGAGGAGGAGGAGGAGGAGGAGGAGGAGGAGGAGGAGGAGGAGGAGGAGGAGGAGGAGGAGGAGGAGGAGGAGGAGGAGGAGGTCTCTGAGGGCTGACTTAGGCTGCAGTCGACCCTCACAGTAAGAATGGGCAGCCTTCCAAGGGGTACTTCCTCTTGCATCCTTGCCTCCACGGCCATCGTTGGCCGCTTTCGTGGGCCGCGCCCCGCTCGAGAAGCTTCGAGACGGCCCTCCAAGGCCCCTGCATCCCTGTCGCGCGTCTGTGTGGTACGGGTTGGCTGTATATTGTGCGATCTTGGCAGCGCGCCGACGGGAGCTCGAGCAGCTGGGGGCCGCGCAGCGCGTGCTCGCAGCAACGCAGCTGGCTGCCGCGCGACTGGCGCAGCGTGCGCCGCGGGGCCCGGGCTCGCGCGGGTTCCGCGCCGCTGGACGCCGCCGCCCCTGCTGGGCGCGCGCTCCTGCCGGCGCCGCCGCCGCGGCGCAGCGGCGAAGACGACCCCGCACCAGGCTCGCCGCCTTCTTCGCAGGGCGGTCGTGGTTGCCGCACGCCCTCGCGCAGAGGACGGGCCACGCCGCTTGTCTCCGCTGCGGCGCCAGCGCAGCGGCGCCGGCGGTGGTGCGTCGGGAGTGCGTGCCCAGGGTGGAGGGCAGCGGCTACCTTACCTGCGCGGGGGCAAGCCCTGCTCCTGGTGCTTGACGTGCGCTGCCGGGGGGGCAGCGTATCCGAATTCGCGGCGCAGCGGCGTACTGGGATGGCCGTGGGGGGTTCTAAGTGGATAGGGGGGTTACAAGTGGATGGTCAGGTGGGCTATATCTGGCTCAGCCCGGCTTACAAGTGGGTGGGTTACACATTCCCCGAGTGGCTTTGGGGGGGGGGAGAATTCCGCTAAGTGGGCGGAACCCATTTAGCTCGGATCGTTCATCCCCCTGAGCCACTTGGGGCATCTGTGGCCCACTTCGAAGCCAGGGTGGGCCAGATGTGACCCACCTTCGCATCCACTTCTAGCCCCCGTATCCACTTAGAAACCCCCACGTCATCCCAGTACTGCGCAGCCCCCCAAGGTGCCCGACCGAGTCGGGCGCATCCTCCGGGCGCTTGCGGCAGCGCTGGCCGCCCGAGCCTGCTCGCTCGTCAAGAGAAACAATCCCGGGGGCCTTCTGTGGGCACCTCGGAGCCGTCTCGCGCAGGCCCTAAACGGGTCCCCCAGACCTCGCGAGGGAGGGCCAGAAACGGGGGACATACGTTGTGGGAGATGAATCGAATTACTACCTCCAGATGTGTGGTGGGGATCGCCTTTTCCTTCCAGGGCTTCGTATGGCAGGCCAGCCACCCTTCTCCGTTCTCATCTCCCCTCTTCCCCTATCTCTTATCCTCTTCCTGCCGTCCTTCCCTCCGCTCATTGCCTTTCCTTTTCCATCCTTATCTCTCAGTCCTGCCGTCAGTCCCTCCGCCAGCCAGAGCCTGTCCAAAACACGTCTCCAGCCCCCATCACGGGCGCCTTTTGTGGAAGTTGTCCGTGCCACGGGTGGCCGCGTGGACGAGGGGGTTCGGGAACTTCCCAAAGGCCCCGGGTCCGAGAAACGGGCGAGAAGGAAAACGACGAGGATGTTTTTCCTTCCGATTCGATGCCTGGACCTCTCTTGGAGCGCGTCCCGACCAGATTTGCGAGGTGACTTGTGGCCGCGGCGGCGCGGGTGCGCCTGGGGGCCCACAGTCCTCCACGTCGGCGACTGTCAACGCTGACGACAATATCAGGTTCGTGGACCTGCAGCTCACCGTGTTTGAATCTTGCGGCCAGAGGCTGATCGTTGAACGATGCCGGGTTGTGCATTGCCCTTGGGCCGAATGCCAATGAAGAGCGGCATGGAAGGGAATGGCACAATTAGGTTTGGCATGTCCTTCTACAGAGGGATATTCAAAATTAGTACAAACATATTCGGGGGACGATTCCCGAGTATGTTCGATTAGTTTTGAGTGATATTTGAACATGTTTTTTGTCGGCCAAACAGGAGGACATGCCCGATTGCAGGAGGACGTGCCCGACAGAATGGCACGAGGGAGACGCAATAGAGAAACAGGCGCGGGCAGGACCCCCCCCTTTTTTCTCAGTGCCTCGGAGACGTTTTTTTTTCTCAGTGCCTTGAAGCAGGCGCGGGCAGTCGTCGCGTGCCCCAAAGACGCTTGAATCTGAATGGTCTCTCCAACAACACTGCAAGACCCCCTTCGCCGACGGCGATCACCGCTGGCGACCAACTGCCACCGCCACCGACGCAGCCGACGACGCAGCCGACGGCTGCGACGGCGCCGCCGCCGACGACGACGGCAACGGCTTTGACGCCAACGCTGGCCTCTGACGCCAACGACAGACTTGCAGTAGACGGCGACAGCGACGACCACGACGCAGGGCAACCGCCGACCGACGATGCCGAGACGGACGACTGGCGACGACGTCCGACGGGCGATGCCGACGACCGACGACGAAGCCGGCGACGCAGACGCCCCCCCCCCTCGGGCCGGGCGAAAGGGGGGGATTGGGAAAGGGGGGGTTACGAAATGTGCTGCATGCAGCTGGTTTCGGCCCCACCGAGGGGGCCATTCCTCGATACATGGCCGCCTCCGGCGCTGGGAGGCGCCGGGAAAGTCAGCTACGTGAGCTGATTCTCAAACCCCCCCTTTGCTATCCCCCCCTTTCGCCCGACCCGATCCCCGCAGGTGCTCGGGCCAGCGGTCGTCGGGTACCCCGAGGGCGCGACGGCCTCGTCCTCCTCCCAGGGGGGCACGGCCCTCGAGCGGCGGCTGCACCAGGTCTTCGCCGACTGCGAGGCTCCACGGGGCACGGCGTCGCTGCCGTTGTCGATCGCCGCTGGCCTGTCGTCGTCCGCCGTTGTCGCTGTCGCTCCTCTGTCGTCGTCCGCCGTCGTCGTCGTCGTCGACCGTATTTGGTCACCGTCGTCGTCGCCCGGTCGGTGACTTTACCGTTGGCGTCGTTCCCGTCGTCGGCGGAAGAGGGTGGGGGATGTTGAAGGTTTGGAGGGGAAGGACGTGGAGGGGCAGATGGAGAGGGGAAGGTGGAGAGAGGCAGAAGCAGTGGAGGTGGATGCGGAGGATGGGCATGAAGTGACACTGGGGGGAGAAGGGGAAGTGGAAGAGCTCGTGGAGACGGATCGGGAGAATGACGAAGAAGCTGAGGAGGAGGAGGAAGAGAAGGAATAGGAGGAGGGAGAGTTTGGAGAATATGCAGAGAGGGGAAGCGAAAGCAGGATGACAGGGAGGAACGAGGGGGGATGTGAGGGGAGGGAAGGGGGAGGCGAGGATGGACGGGCAGGGGAGAGGGCGGAGAGAGGGTGGTGGATGCGGGGCAAGGGGAAAGGAAGAGGACAACGGGGGAGGAGGTCGACCATGAGACGGTAAGGGCGAATCCGGACAGAGCGGAATCAGAAAAGAGCAAGGGCAGGCGCGGAAGAGGGGCGGTGTGTGTGTGGATGTTATGGGGGAAGAGGATGTTTCCGTTGTGACGATGGCGAAGAAGATCCGTGGATGGGGGGAGGAGGTAAATGAGGGGATGGAGGCGGAGACGGCAGATGATGAGGAGGAGGAGGAGAAGGAGGTGGATGAATATTTAGCACCCCGCAGTTGCGGATAAGAGTTAGACGGCGGCGCGGGTTGCGTCGCGGGTATGTCGCGGGCGAGTCGCGAGAGGGTCGCGGGGTGCGTCGCGGGTGAGTTGCGGGTGGGTCGTGGGTGGGTCGTGGATGGGTTGCGGGTGGCTCGCGGGTGGCTCGCGGGCGGGTCTCGCGTTGGATCGCGGGTGGGTCGCGGGCGGGTCGCGGGGTGGGTCGCTGGTGGGTCGCGGGTGGGTCGCAGGTGGGTCGCGGGGTGGTGCGGGAGTGGGTCGCGTGTGGGTCGCGGTTGGGTCTCGGGTGGGTCGTGGGTTGGGTCGCGGGTTGGGTCGCGGGTTGGGTGGCGGGCGGGACGACGGCATCAACATAAACAACCATCACTAAACAACACGCAACAACCAACACACAGCAAACACCAATCAACGCAGTAACAGCATCAACAACAGCAACGACACCACCACAAACAACATCAGCAACAACCGCAGCAACAACAGCACCAATCACAACAGCAACACCAGCAACAACAACACTCACCACCACAACAATAACAAGACCAACACCAACAACAGCAATTACAACACCAGGAGCAACGTCAACATCAACAGCATCAACAACCACAACAACAACATCAGCATCACCAACAAAACCAACAACAACCATAACACCAACAACCACTATAACCACCAACAACCACCAACATAGCACCATAACAACCATAATTCAAACAACAACAACCAACAACATCAACATTGACGCACGCACCAGCATCAGCAGCACCGTTCACAGTATCAACACCGGCAATACCAGCAACACGCACCACAACAACAACAACAATAACAACAACAACACCAACAACATCAACAATCACCACAACTATAACAACAGCAGCAACACCAACAACCCCAACAACAACTACACCGCGGCCGCCAATTTCAGCCACGCAGCCCGCCAAGCCCCTCACTTCGATTATATGGGGACCGAGAGAGACGATATGGTTCGGGGGGCGAGAAAGGCGAGTGCAATTCTACTGGGGGAAGTGGGAGGGGGGCAAGGCGACTACGGGGATGGATAGGTTGAGGAGGAGGAGGAGGAGGAGGACGAGAAGGAGGAACGAGATGATTCGGACGAAGGGGCTGACGAGTGCAGCAGGCGGAGGATGATGAGAAGGAGGAGGAGGAGGAGGACTAGAAAGATGAAAGAGGATGGAAGAGGGGGAGGACAACCCCGACGGGGGGGCCAAAGATGCGGGAGTAGGAAGGCCCGCAGGTCCCGTCTAGTGGCCGCCCCAGGCTCAGGAATCCCCAGGCCCGCCCCCTCCTCACACCTCTCCCACAGGCTGTCGGTGATTCGAGGCGGTTCGTCTTGGGGTCAGGGTCGGCACAGGGGCCAACGGCAGTGGCGAGGCGGTCGTGTTTTGCAGGATGCTCGGGACCGCATGCGACCAGGCGATTTATACTTGCCCTGGGGGGGAGAGGGTCGCCGCGCCTCGCTGGAACGTGGACTATCGGACATGCAGTTCTGGCTTGTCGTCGTCGACGCTGCCCTGCCGCCAGGCCGAGGCCAGCGGCCCGGACGAGAGCTGCCGTTGCTTTGTTTGAGTCGGCGTTTGGTCGTATGGTAGGCAAGGCGCAGGTGGCGCTCCTGCCCCAGCCCGGCAGGACCTTCTCGCAGCGCGGACGTCAGCTCGATTGCTTCGAGCTCTCCCTGCGCAAGCTCAGAGCGGGGGGGGTACCCCAGCCTGGGCTTCTCCAGGGCCGTCCCTTGCCCCATCGCCCGTTTAAAACGACGCGAAAATCTGGACAAAATCGGATCGGGATAACTCGAAATCTCTGAGAATCGGCGGGTTTGGAGGATGTATTGGGCGCCGCGGCCGCTCCAGAGCGTTCCGGAACGCTCTGGAGCGCTCTGGAACGCTCTGGAGCGATTTATCCCGATCCTAGCCCTGTTTTAGTACCCCAGCCTGGGCTTCTCCAGGGCCGCCCCTTGCCCCATCGCCCGCTCGGGGCCAGCAAGACCTGGTCAAACCTGGCCTCGTGGCCTGTCGGATGTCTGTGGCGTCGGCTCCGGAGGAGCGGCGGCACGCGGGACGCGGCCGACGGGGCATGGCGCGGGTAGGCGCTGATTCCTCCCCCCTTTCAAACCTCTCCTCCTCCTCCTCCTCCTTCTCCTCCTCCCTCCTCCTCCTCCTCCTCCTCCTCCTCCTCCTCCTCCGCCTCCTCCTCCTCCTCCTCCTCCTCTTCCTCCGCCTCCTCCGCCTCCTCCTCCTCCCCCTCTCGTAGGGTGATCGTATAGGTATGGACATACTCGTTGCCCCTCGGCGCAACACAGTCTCATATCCGCAGCCCCCTCGGGTCCCAGGACGTCGGCTCCCCAGGGGGGGGGATGTGGATCAGCTTCCGCCCCGCATGATGCAGCGCTGCTCAGCGGAAGCGCTTGCTCCATGCTCCTCCAGCAGGAGGACTCGGAGGGCCAGAGGTCCACACGAACGCCATCGTCGGCGATCGCCTCTGCCGAGGGAAGATGGCCCCGATCTCGGCGGTGGCGGTGATGTTTGGGCTTCTTGGATGGCCGAGAACTTGCCTCCAGCACCAGAATCCGGGATCCTCTCCCCCCCAGTGGAGGCGGGCCCTGCTCCGGTGCCGAGTGCCGAGCTCCAGGCACCCACGGGCGGCCGGCTGCCCCCGTCGCGCGGGCGGCCGGCTGCCCCCGTCGCGCGGCGAGGCGCTCAGCAAAGCGGTGGGCGCGGCGCGGGCCGGCGACCTCGCGGAGGCGCCGCGCCTCGTCATCGCCCCGCGCGCGGGATCGAGCTGTGCGGTCTCCCTCCTGTTGCCTCCTCTCGGGAAGGAGAGCAGCACGCAGACACCATGAATCGTCGATTCCCAGGAAGATGCGGGAAAACATGGGGGGTGCGGGGGGGGAGACGGAAGCGTATGGGGGACTGTGTGGATTGAGCTGTGTGTCCCTGGGCCCCTTCCTCCGCCTCTTCCCGTGCCCCTTCTACCTTCAGGGGTGAGGTCTCATGCACAACCACCTCCTGGGGGATCGGGCTTCTGGAGCATCGGCGGGCGGTGGCTACGAATATGGACATCTCCGGGCCCCAGGGGGAGCCAAACGGACCCCCAACCACCGCCCGCCGTGGCCCCCAGAGCTCGGTGCCCGAGGCGGCGCTTATGAACTATTCTTAGGTCGGGCACAGCCCTCTACAGAAGGAATGTTCAAGCATGGCCAAACAAATAGTCTGGGGACGATTTTTTGACTATGTTTGACCATGTTGGGGAATTTGCAGGCAATATTATGTTTCCTCCAAAATCCTGCTGTGGGGGGACATGCTCGACCTAAGGCTGCTCCCTGCCGCGCATCCTTCCCCTTGCGTGCCGGGCGTGTGCAAAGTTCGCGGCCAGGATCGCCATTTCCTGGAGTCCTCGCGACTGCACCGGTGCAGTCTGGCCTAGGCGCCACCTCACTGCCGGAGCTGGCTTGGAGACCGCTGATCGGTAGATCGAACATGGATCGGCGGATCCGGCAGGATAGAGGTTGGATCGAGGACGGAGGTTGGATGGAGGTTGCATGGAGGATGGATCGATCGGGGGTTGATAGACCTCCTACCCTGACACGTCGATTAGCGAATTGGCCGTTTTCGGTTCGCGAGAGGGCGTCGCGGCCATCATTCTTGCGGGTCCAGGTCCGTCGATTTTGGGTCCCAGGCTGTTTTCAAGAAAGGGTGGCTGACTAAAGGGAGGTTTTTCCACCACCGAATAGAGGGTTGATGCAGGGTGGATCAAGGATGGAGAGCGAAGGATGGCGGCGGGCGAGGGATGGAGGAGGACGAGCATTCATGTGCGTCCTCGTCTTCTGCCGCCCTGAACATTTTGGCGCGTCTCCTCGGTCGCCCTCGTGGCCAGTGCCGGGTCTGCCTCGAAACTTCTTGGCCAGAGGGCACACCAAGCAGCAAGTCGGGGAGGAGGGGGAACACGCGTTGTCGCGGGTGGGGTTGCCAGTGGTGCTGCTGAAGCTGGTGCTCCCGCTGGTGTGCAGCTCTCTCGGTGTCCTCCTTGGCGCCCACTTTTAACTCTCTGGGCGATCTTGGGACCCTTTTTGGGTCGGCGACCTCTTGTAACTCTTTGGGCGATCTTTGGCGCCCTCTTGTAACTCTTTGAGCGATTTTGGGGACCCTTTTTGGGGTCCCCTGGAGGCCCTGTCGGGTCTGTCGACGGGCGCCCCCCCAGGACCTCCTTGGCGACTCGAGGAGCTCCAGCCGTCTGTCTCTCCCGGCCTTCGGCCTCCACGGGGCCGCTTCTTTGGCCCGGGGACCGCCAAGGCTCGGGCGAGCACCCTTGGGGAGAGCAAAACACGTACCCTTGAGCGATTTTAGAGGAAAAAACGGGCTGTTCCTCCACTCTGCTGATGTGGCTAGAGTGGAGGAACCTCTACACACAGAGCAGCTCTTCCCGTCTTCGGACAAGACGTGGGAGGAGTAAAACACTGAGCACTGGAGGCGCCCTGGAGGCTTGGGGATGGGGATGAGGCGCGCCCCCCCAAAACAAAAATGCCGCCGCGGGGGCGCACGCCGCGAGAGGAACCGGCGATGCACGCCCCGGGCAGGAGGGAGGGGCGGAGGAAGATGGGAGGGGGCTCCTCCTCCACCTCCTGCTCCTCTTCCTCCTCCTCCTGCTCCTCTTCCTCCGCCCTCCTCCTCCGCCCTCCTCCTCCTCCTCCTCCTCCTCCTCCGCCCTCCTCCTCCTCCTCCTCCTCCTCCTCCTCCACCTCCACCTCCCCCTCCTCCTCCTCCTCCGTAGCCATTTTGGCTCAAGATGTCCTGGTGCGCAGCGGCGTCCAAATGGATACCGCTGTGCCGCGGCCAGGAGTGGGGATTCCCTTGCAGCCACACCCAGGGCGAGCTGCCGCCAAAGCCTGGTCCGCGAGGACCCACAGTTTTGTGCCCGCGAGGGCTCTCCACAGCAGTGCATGGCGGCTGAGGAGGAGCGGCGCAGGGCGGGTCGTGCTGGTGGCGGCCATCGCGGTCCTGGTGCTGCTGACGGGCGGAGGCGCGGCGACAAGGGCAAGGAGCAGCCTCCAGCCGAGGACCTGCGGTCGGCCTCCCGCAGCACGAACGAGCGTGCCCCTGCGCGACGTCGGGCTCGGCGGGGCCACCCGCGCTCCGACGGCGAGGCGGATGCCTCGGGATCGCCGGCCAGTGATCGTGCGCGCCATGGACCTGGAGGACCCGATCGTGCTGCCCAGGATGAGCTCGCGGCTGCCCTCGAGGCGGCGGCCACCTTCCCCTCGCAGGAGCGCCAGGCCATGCAAGTGGAGCAGGCGCCCGCTGGCAACTTGCAAGCTGGACCTCAACATGCCCCTCCTGACCCGTGGCAACGCCCTGGCGGGGACCCTTGGCATGATCGCGCTGCCCCCGCTGATGGACACACTGAACCACCTGCTGCTGGCACTCCTATCGGTGGGATGGCCACTCCTGTGGACGCTGGCGGCATGGACATGCAGGCCATGTTGCAGAGCTGCATTCGCCAGGCCACCGATGCCATCGCCGCGACCTCCATGGCCCAGGTCACCTCCTGCCAGACGCAGCTGGTGCGCATGTTTCAGACCCCGCAGGAGGCTGTCCACAGGTCCCTCGCCGTGCAGACGCGCGACATCGCATCCATCGGTCAGCGCGCCGACGCGCTGGAGGCGGAGCAGGCTGCCATGCGCAAGCAGATCGGGGACATCAACAAGGCCCTGGCCCTCGCCGAGAAGGAGCTGCCCATCATGGACTTCCAGGAACTGGAGGCGTGGTCTCGTCAACCCAACCCGCGGATCTTCTCGATTGGGGCGCAGCAGTTGGTTGGACAGCCCAAGCTCTTCAAGGATTGGAGGAGTGGATCCGCGCGGCCGGCCTCACCAACGACATGGTCCGCATCGACCCTGCGGTCCCCTCCAAGCGCTTCAACGTCTTGGTCCAGGGCGGCGACGGTGTCGCTATCCCTCGGGCCCAAGCACTTGCACGGCATCTACGTGACCCAGCTGGCAGGAACGGGTGGCGCTCCTTCAGCGCGCAGAGCGTCGGCGGCGGCGCCGCCCCGCTGTACCTCTCGCCCGACAAGTCACCGCAGCAAGTACGGATGGAGATCCAGTCGAGGAAGCTCTCGGCTCTGTTGGCAGAAGCTCATCCTGATCTGCCCTTCAGTGCTCAGCGGGCCCGTGGCATCGTCACCTCTCAGGGCGTCAAGGTTGCCAAGCTCGAGATGGGAGAATCCCGCTTCACCGACGCTATCATCAGGTGGAACCCAGACATGGTCGCCAGGCTGCACATCGACAGGGAGTCCATCAACACGCAGTTCAAGAAGGCCTTCTCCACGGAGGACAACACTGAGTGGATTTAGCAGCCCACTGTGGGCGCCTTGGCGTCCTCCTGGCGCACGGCATGGCTTCCGTGGACTTCACCTGGTCGCGTGGAATGCCCGTGGCCTGCTCCACTCGGACGCGAGGCTGCGCAGACGCAAGTTGGCACTGCTCGCCACATACATGAAGGTCAACGCCATCATCGCCGTGCAGGAGGTCCACGGCTCCGAGGACGCCCTCAGGATCTTTCTCCAGTCGCAGCCGCAGAAGTACATGAGCTTCCTCTCGCCTGGCTCTTCCGCTGCCGTGGGCGGAGTCGCCTTTCTCGTCCCTCGTTACGTCGACGAAAGTCCAAGGGCGGATGGACCCAGAGCCGAATCTCTGGGAGGCGGGGGCGAGGCGAGGCGTGTCAGACCCACTGAGTGTTCCTCGCCCCCTGCTGCATCCTTACCGACTCAAGACACCTGGTCAAGTACACGAACCTCCTCTTCACCTACGACAGCAAGTTGCTCCGACACCTGGTCAAGTACACGACGTTCTCCCACGGCATCCACGTCACTACCGAACAACACCTGGTCAAGTTCACGTAACCCCACCCCTGCGCCTCCGACCTTCCGCTTCGACATAGTGGCGGGCGGCCGCGCGGCGCTCCTCATGATCACCGACAGCGCGGGCAAGTACAGCATGCAGATCTTCAGCATTCACAACTACGACCTCAAGCCGCACGAGTTCACTGCAGTACAGCGCACTTGGTCCAGTGGCCTGGCGCGGGCGCGCCGCGACTCGTTACACCGCATCTTCCTGGGCGTCGGTGACTTCAACATAGCTACCCGCCCGCCAGTCAGTCAACGAGCTCCCTCAGACACCACTGCTTGGCGCCTCCGACCTGATCACCGTTGCCAACTTCGACAACCTGCGTGGCGCCGTCTATTCGCTGCAGCTATGGAGGTTGAGTCTCAGTGGCCGACCCACTACGACAAGTCCTCCAAGCAGCTGTCCACGATCGACCGCATCTTCTTGGGCATCGACGCGCACGCCATGCTCTCGGTCTCGAGGATCCTTACCACCGCGAGGGACGCGATGGAGCTGTCCGAGGAGGGCATCAGCGACCACGCGCCCCTCGTTCTGCAGATCACTGCCGCACGCCATGTCCCACGAGACGAGCAGCCAATCCCGACGCACCTCTTCAGCCACAAGAAGTACCCTGAGACCTACACGCTCATGCTGGACCACTGCGCCCTGGCTGGGGAAACGGCGGAAGGCCGCTGGAGAGCAGCGAAGCAGTGCATGAAGCTTGCTGCGCGACGTGTTCGTGATGAACAGCTGCGGACCAACTTCTCCCTACACGTCAAGGACTCCACGGTCGAGACCTCGTACATGGGGTTCAAGTCGGCGGCGCGAGCAGTCTGGCGACAGGACGCTGTCCTGGCAGGCAGGCTTCTCGACTCCTGCCCTGCGCTGGCCGCCCACCTCCACATTGCCGACGGCACCGTGCGCCTCGTGGACCCCCACAGCTTCGCCACAAACTTCGACGCCATCGCCGAGCGAGTGCACTCCCTGCGCAGGCAGGCGGCGGAGGCAGCAGCTCGGACGGCCAACGTGCGCGACAGCGCAGCCTGGCGGAGGGTTGAACGCAAGGCCGCCAGGCATGCGCAGCTCTGGGCCCCCTGGCGGCGCCGCATGATCCTCTCGGGCTTGCGTGTGGATTCCGCACCGTGTGCCGCCAAGGACTCGCAGGTGGCTCAGCACGTGGTCTCCGACCCCGCGGGCATGAAGGCGACTGTGGCGAACTACTGGGGTGAGATCTTCGCGAAGGTGCCGAATTCTGAACAGCTGAACGCATTGGACGCATTCCTAGACAAGCATGCACCAAGGATCCCTGCGGTGGAACTACCTCAACCAGCTCTACATGACTTGGAACGTGCGGCCAGTAGGGCCCCGCCGAGCGCTGCGGGACCAGATCAGCTGACGTACGCAGCATGGCGCCGCAGCCCTGGAGCCTTGCAGCATCTCCAGGGACTCATGGAAGTCCTCTTCAACGACGGCGTGGCCCCGCTCGACCTCAACTGGTCGATCTTCATCTGCGTGCCGAAGGGCACGGAGGAGGACGACGACCCCGACTCCTGCACGCGCACGGCCTCCACGGTGCGCCCCCTCTCTCTGAAGAACTGCGACGCCAAGCTGATAGCGGCCTGCGCTGATCGAGGGCTCCAGCCCATAGCCACATCATCTACCTCACCCGAGCAGAAGGGCTTCACTGCGGGGCGGCGCTTCGTAGACCACATCCCGTACTTGGACGCGGAATGCCGTAGGGAGGGCCTTCTTCCTGACGCGGCGACCCGCCGCCCCATGTTCTTGTCGTTCGACTTCCGTCAGGCCTTCCCCTCGCTCTTCAGGGAAGTCATCGAGAAGGTCCTTCCGCGCGTGGGGGTCCCGTTGGGCTTCCGCAGCGTGGTCGCGGCGCTCTACAGCAACTGCCTCGCCTTTAGCTCCTTCCGCGCCGAGGGCACCAGCGCGGAGCTCGAACCGCTGTTCGCGCTCCTGTGCGGCATCATGCAAGGATGCCCGCTCTCTGGCACGGTCTGGTGCTTGGCAATGGATGCGCCCATCCGCGCGCTGCTGGCTGCGATTGCAGAGCATGGGTTCCTCACGGCTTGCGCCGACGATCTCGGGATGCTGATAAAGAACGCTGTTGCCCTCCCTAGCATCGACCACACCTTCGTCTCCATAGAGTTTGCCTTCAACCTGCAGCTGGCGCTGCACAAGTGCGTGCTGGTTCCGCTGTGGGAGGAGCTCTCGGAGAACACACTGCTGAACGTTAAGTCCTTCCTCGCTAAGGAGGTCCCCCGCTGGCTGGGCTTCCGCGTCGACTCCACGGCCAAGTACCTGGGGACTCACCTGGGACCAGGCGTCACGGACTTCGGCATCTGGAAGGCTGCTGCGGGGAAATGGTGGACCCGATGCTGGGAGCTTGCGCGCACTGGCATGGCCACCAGCCTTGCGGCCCGCGCGTACAACATCAACGCGCTTCCGTGCTTGTCGTACCTCGCGCAGTTCTACTTCATTGTCCCTGCCATCTGGAAGGTCGAGTTCACCTCCCTGCACCGCCTGCTGCGGCTGCCGCCCTCGTCCATGCGAAAGGCTGACATCCTGTCGATGAGCGCGTGGTGCGGTTCCCCGTCGCCGATTGGCCTCTTCCCATACACGCTCGCGGCGACGATGCGCGCGGCGGAGAACACGGTTCGCGGATGGGAAGCCCACCTTCACCACCTTCATGAAGCTGCCGTGGAGCACGTCCCACTGATTGACGTGATCAAGGGCAACTGGTCGCCATCGTGGTGGCAGACGCGGAGGGCGATCGTACAGAACTACGCCATGATCACGGACACCTACGGCCAGTTGGACATACCCAGACCGACGCTCGACGTGCTCTCGGTTCCGATCCCGAGCAGGTACATCAAGAGCGCGAAGTCGGCGATGATCCTGGAGACGAAGACGGCGGCAGCGGCCACCCCCACCAGGAAGCCCAAGTGCCAGGCCACGGCCGCCGCTTCGCTCCGTGGCTCGCTGTGCCCCGAGGACCTGGTGACCACCATCCACCGCCGGCTCCGCCGGTGGGGTGTCGAGTGCTCGCTGCCCGAGCTGCGAGAGAGGTGGCCTCCGCTGCGTGGCAAGCTGACGGAGGTCCGCCCGGCTTGGATGTGGTCGTGGATCCGCACCGCGGTCAACGGCTGGACGACATCTCGCCGCATGAGCGCCGTCATCGACGCGCGGCCATGCCTCTTCGGCTGCGACGCGGAGGACGCGCTCGAGCACTACGTCGTCTGCCCGACCCTCAGGGCGATGACTGCGGGCGACGCTGGTGCGGACTCCCTCGGCAACGGCGCCGAGCTCCTCGGCTTCGGCGACGAGCAGTACCACGCAAAGAGACCCATCAAGGACTGCATCTACTCGGTCGGCCTGATGTGCCAGTGCTACCACATCCAGAAGCACCGCATGGACGTGGGCTTGGACGCTGGAGCTGACCAACGGGCTGGTGTGAGACTGGCCGCTCTTCACCGCATGCAGGCATAGGCGAGGCTGCAGATCGAACTGCTCGCCGAGCTTCGTGCCCTCCTCCTCCTCCTCCTCTTCCACCTCCTCCCCCTCCTCCTCCTCCTCCTCCCCCTCCTCCTCCTCCTCCCCCTCCTCCTCCTCGTCCTCCTCGTCCTCCTCCCCTCCTCCTCCTCCTCCTCCGCCTCCTCCTCCTCCTCCTTCTCCTCCCTCCTCCTCCTCCGAGGCGAGAGTGAGACCAGCAGGACGTCTGGTGAGGATACCAGCAGCGCCCACCACGCAAGCGTCGACATAGCGAGGAGGATGTGCGGGCGCCGCCTGACTCAGACGCCGCCTGACTGAGGGCGGCGAGGGAGGAGGAGTAGGAGGAGGAGGAGGAGGAGGAGGGGGAGGGGGGGGAGAAGGAGGAGGAGGAGGAGGAGGAGAAGGAAGACGGGGAGGAGGGAGGAGGTGGAGAGGAGGAGGAGGAGGAGCAGGAGGAGGAGAAGGCGGAGGAGGAGGAGGAGGAGGAGATGTCACAACCCAGCCTCCCGGACGGCCCTCGCCGCCACGCGGGTCGCCTCTCGAGAGTCGGAGCGCGCTCCAGGGAGGCCTGCCGGTCGACGCCTGGAGGGAGCGAGGTGCGAGAGGGGGAAAGGGGCCCGAGGAGGGAGGGAGTGCAGGGGGGGGGGGGCCTCCTCGTCAAAGCGTCGGGGGCCCCCAAACGGGGTGGTGACCACGCCGTGCGGTGAGTCGGTGGGGATTCGGGGTCACTGCACAGTTTTGGGACTCGGGGCGTTCTCCGAGGACGTCTCGGGCGGCTGGGGCGTCCGCGGTCCCAAGACCGTGCGGTGACGGACCGTGCGGTGAGGTCCTGGGGGATTTCGAGGTCACCGCACGGTCTGTCACCGCACCGCTTCGGGGCTCCAACACGTGGTGTCAGGAAGACATTCATCCACGACCGCGCCGCAGGAACACAGTGGAGCGCCCTCGGGTCCTCGATGAGGGCCCATGCTGGGCATCCTCTGGCACAGCAGCTGCTGTGCTCTAGAGCCTGGACCCCTTCGAGTCAGCTCTAGAGCCTGTCCTCTTGGGAGGGATGGAGTCAGGAGGGGAAAAAACACACAGACACAATTAATCGGCGATCCCCAGAAAATATGGGAAAATATGGGAAGTGGGGGGGAAGACAAAAACCCAGAAAATATGAGAACATATGGGGGATTATTTTATTTGTGTGTATTTATTTGTGTGTCCTGGGGCCCCTTCATGGAGGGAGGGGGGTGGGGCGGGCAGGCCTGCGGCACGCGTCGGTCCTGCCAGGCTCGACGCGCCCACACCCATACCCCACGCCGGCCCCCATCGCTCCCCCCTCCACGCCAGGGGAGGGCGGGGGGGTGGGCCGAGTCGATCGGGCCGAGCCCCAGACTGAGCGCAAGGATGCCGAGGCGTGACGGAGGGAAGGGGTGGTCGAAAGACAAGGGGTTCGCATCAGCAAGATGTGTTCGAAGGACCTCGAGGGTTTTTGGGACCCGCGCCGGGCCGCTTGGGCGGCGCCTCCGGCGCCGCTCCGCGCGACAGGGATGAGAGGTCCAGTGCGGATCCAAGAACTCTGCGCGGACCCTCGAACGTTCAGATGATTGTGTGTGCTTATGTTCCTCTCCTGCGAGAGGGGGGCGGAGGGCGAGGGCGAAGGGGGAGTGGTGGGACAGGACGACGGAGGTGGAGCGGGGGGAGGTCTCCGGCTCCCATGTTTCTCCTCGGCGTTCGGTGGCAGATCATGGGAGCCTGGTGGACGCTCTTCATTCAAGACCTAGCGTCGACTGGCGTCTGGGAGTCGACGAGATAACGCCGATGTGGTGTCGATGGGCGCCGATCTGGCGTCGATGGAGCGTCGACGGCCTCGATTCGCACGAGCCGACGAGATGGCACGGGAGGCTCCCAGGAGGTGCCACCGAGTCGGGGAGGGCGCCTCCTCCGGGTGTCGGGAGGCCCCGCGGGGGCCGGTCGGGCGAGTGCGGCCGACGGCCGCGGCGCCGCGCGCGCGCCGCGGCGCAGGCGCTGCGGGGCCACGCCGAGGTGAAGCGCGTGCTGCGGCCAGAGGGCGACGTGCTGTGGGCGGCGACGCTCCCGCGCGCCCGCGGCCGGTGCCGTGCCCGCCACCGCCGGAGGTGCGGACACTCACCACGCACCAAGCCACAAGGGCGCCCCCGAGGGCGCGAAGTGCCTCGCGCTGCGCGGTTCGGCCCCGATGCCTCCTCGTCCTCCTCTTCTCCCCTGGGAGGCGGCGCGAGAGCGCGACGTTATTCGCACTTCGCGCTTCGCGCAGCGCTACGAAGTACGAAATTGAGAGCCCCTGGGAAACTCGCCACCCACCAAACAGACCCCGCCCAACCCGAAGGCATCAATTTGCCCTCCATTTCCATTGTGGGGGGGTCCAGGAACATGGACAAAAACAAGGATGGAACCCTTACCGCCCCCCTCAGCCGAAGTTCGGGTCTTCGGGTTGGGGGTGGGGTGGTCTGGTAGGTAGTCAGGGACAGAGGCGGTAGCGGTTCGTGCCGTGTGACCGCGGCGGCGACCCAGCCGCGGGCGTCAGCCGCCGTGGAGTGCGTTCTGAGGGCAGCGGGTCCTGAGGTTTTTCTCGCCGCTGCCTGCCTTCTGAGGGCCCTCCACGGGCCCCGGGGCCGTCCGGAAGCGATTCGGGGTGAAGAGCTCGTCCTGGGGCAAGGCCCAGGGTCCAAGACCCAGTTTCCGTCAGGGCCCGTTTCCTTGATATGCTATGTTCGGGAGCGAAAGAAGGACGTACGCGTAATTACCTGAAGCCACGCTGGTTTCGAGAGTACGCATTGCGCAAAAATGTTCGTGTGACTCGGCCAGTCTTGCGGATCGAGGGGCCGCGTTCATGCACATAGCTGGGCGCGTACGTTTTTTTGTGGGCTCCCTATATGTCAGTGGCCCAGGAGGGGCCAAGGTCGAACGATCTGGCTGCTGAGCAGCTGGCGATCGTTCGACGTCGAGCGGTCCCAGGGGGGCGTCAGAGGCCGACGCCGGGCTCGTCACGACACGAAGCTGCTGCAGCGCCGCGCGTCCTGTGTGGCCCTCGTCTCCACGGCCTGGCCCTCCTCGGGATCCTGGTCGGGTGGCACCCCGCAGGACAGGCCCGTGGAGCCGAAGTGTCGGTGCCCTGCTGTCCCGCCAGCCCCGCGTCCGCGGTCGGCACCGTGCACCGCCTCCGCCAGACGTCCGCGGGTCCCTGTCGGTGTCAGATCCTTGGGCGCAGAGGTGGCCGCCCGGCCCGGCCTTGGGGGCCCATGCTCGTGCGTTGCTCCAGGCCCCAAGGGTTCAAGATCGGGGTGCGGGAGCGACTCGAGCCGGCAGCTCGGCGTGCGGCCAGGACCGAGTCTCAACGCATCCGCCTCCTCCTCCTCCTCCTCCTCCCCCTCCTCCTCCTCCTCCTCCTCCTCCCCCTCCCCCTCCGCGTCCTCCTCCTCCTCCTCCTCCTCCTCCTCTTCCTCACTCTCCTTCTGCTCATGTTTCCCCGTCCTCGCGCACGTCTATCTCTGCAGTTGCGTGGCCACCGGGGGTGGGCATGTCGCCCCCCTCCTCACAGCCCCCCCCTCATCCATCCGTTCGCTGTGGTCACCCATCCTCTCACAGCCTCTCCCCTCCTCTCCACATCCTCCCCCCTTCGCCCTCCCCATTTCCACTCGTATCACTCTCCCTGATGCTTCTCCTCCCTCCTCCCCCTCTCCTCCCCCTCCTCTGCCCCCGTCCTCGGAAGCCCCCCTCCCCCCCGCCCCTTTTCCGACGACTGCTACGATTGCTGCGACGCTGCGACGGCAACGACTACGACGATCGCTGGCCGGCTGGCAACGACTGCGACTGCGACGCTGCGACGGCAATGACTGCGACGGCCAATCTGCTCGAAACATCTGTCTCCGGGCGCTCCCAGGGCCCAACCTGGCAGGTTCATCTTGGACCGATGCTTGCCTGTCTCGGGGCCGGAGATGGGCATCCAGAGGGCAAGCGTTCGCGCACCACGCTTCCGACGGGGCCGGAGACGGGCATCCAGAGCAAGCGTTCGCGCACCACGACTCCAACGGGGAAGCGTTCGTGCACGACGCCTCCGACGGGGCCGGAGACGGGCATCCAGAGGGCAAGCGTTCGCGCACCACGCCTCCGACGGGGTCGGAGATGGGCATCCAGAGGGCAAGCGTTCGCGCACCACGCCTCCAACGGGGCCGGAGACGGGCATCCAGAGGGCAAGCGTTCGTGCACGACGCCTCCGACGGGGCTGGAGACGGGCATCCAGAGGGCAAGCGTTCGCGCACCACGCCTCCGACGGGGTCGGAGATGGGCATCCGCAGCAAGCGCTCGCGCAGCAGGCCTCCAACGGGGCTGGAGACGGGCAGTCACGCCTCCGACAGGGCCAGAGACGGGCAGCCAGAGGGCAAACGTTCGTGCGCCTCCGACGTGGCCGGAGACGGGCATCCAGAGAGCTCCCTGGCCACCACCGTGTCAATGTCAAGCTGCACTGTCAATGTCTCGCTCTCCTGGGGCCTTGCTGTGTTCCTGCTCGTAAACGTGTGTCACGTGCGCGGAGCTGCGCTGCCAATGCCGCGCTCTCCTAAGGCTTTGCTGTGTTCCTGCTCGCGACGCACACCGCCAAAAGCGGAGGAGGAGGAGGAGGAGGAGGAGGAGGAGGAGGAGGGGAGGTTGGGAGGAGGGAGGGAGGGAGAAGGAGGAGGGGGAGGGAGGAGGGGGGAGGATGAGGGGGGAGGGGGGAAGGGGGGGAGGGGGGAGGGGGTGAGGAGTAGGAGGAGGAGGAGGATGAGGAGGCGGAGGGAGGAGGAGGTGGAGGAGGAGGAGGAGGAGGGAGGGACGAGGAGGAGGAGGAGGAGGAGGAGGGGAGGAGGTGGGGAGAAGGGAGAAGAAGGAGGAGGGAGGGGGGAGGAGGGAGGAGGGAGGAGGGAGGAGGAGGAGGAGGGGGAGGAGGGATGGAGGGAGGAGGGAGGAGGGAGGAGGGCGTGGGAGGAGGGAGGAGGGCGGAGGAGGAGGAGGAGGGGGAGGAGGAAGTAGGGGAGGAGGAGGAAGAGGAGGAGGAGAAGAAGAAGAAGGGGGGGGGATGAAGAAGAGGACGAGGGGAGGAGGAGGAGGAAGGAGGAATGCGACGAGGCGGAGGAGGATGGAAGGAGGAGGAGGAGGAGGAGGAGGAGTAGGAAGAGGAGGAGGGTGGAGGAGGAGGAGGAGGGGAGGAGGAGGAGCAGGATGGGGAAGGAGGAGAGGAGGGACGATTAAGGGGGAGAGGAGGAGGAGGAGGCGGAGGAGGCGGAGGGAGGAGGAGGAGGAGGAGGGAGGAGGAGGAGGGGAGGAGAAGGATTCGGGTCGAGGAGGGAGGAGGGGAGGAGGAGCAGGAGGAGGTGGAGGAGGACGAGAGGGAGGAGGAGGTCGGAGGAGGAGGAGGAGGAGGAGGAGGGTGCACCGCGCCTCCGACGGCGACGGCGAGAGCTTCGGCGGCGGCGGCGGCGGCGGGCGGCGCCGCAGGCGGACGGTTCGCGGCACGCGTGCGGCCGCTTGCTGGCCGACGGCGCGGAGGCCGCCCCTCGGGCCGCTGCTCGTCGCCGCCGCCGCGCCCTCGTCGCCCTCGTCGCCGTCGATTCCGACGCCGTCGCCGTGCGCCGCCCCATCGGGCCGCTGCTCGTCGCCTTCTTCGTCGTCGCTGTCCTTGCCGCCGTCGGCGTGCGCGTCGTTGTCGCCGTCGCCTTCGTCTCCGCCGCCGCCGCCGTCGTCCACGCCCTCGCCCCGGACGAGCTGCGGCTGGGCAGGCCGGCCACGAGGCCCTCGTCACCTGGGACGAGTTCCGGGGCCTCTTCGCCGAGCCGCCGCGCGGGCCGCTCTCCCTGGACGGGAGTCCGAAGGCTCCAGCTCTCCCTCCAGCAGATGGGGAGCGAGGAGTTTAGCGGACAGTGGGGAGGGCAAGCCAACGCGGCAGCCAGTTCCAGAAGTCTGGATTCACCTCTCGGGGTGCCGGTTGCGTGCTCGTTCACCTGTCGGGCACCAGTCGCGCGCTCGTTTCGCCTGTCGGGCGGCCAGTCGCGTGGGCGGTGGCCCAGATTCAGCCAGCTATCCAGCCAGCCAGCCAGCCAACCGAACAATCATATCAATCCGCCAGTCGACCAACCAACGAGCCGACCGAACAGCGATACAGCCATCCAGCCATTCAGACACAGGTGGACACCCGCGGAGGGCGAACCCCCAAAGAAAGCGCCCGCTAGCCATTACTGGATACGCTGCGAGTGGAGCCGTTGAGGCACAACCAGCCCGCGCATGACATTTGCGGGGCCTCAAGAGGCCATTGGACAGCAGGCGCGCAAGACACTGCGGGAGCCATCATCTGTATCTCACCATGTGTGAGCACACTTGCGACGTCTCAGCAGAAGCCAGTTGCTGCTTGTGCGGTGACCGCTGCGCAGCACAAGCTCCTTTCTGAAAGCCACCCCAGCACAACGAGGAGGAACATCAGGAGCAGGAGCAGGGGCGGGAGGAGCAGGAGGACCAAGGCAAGGCGGAGGGCTGCAGCGGGAGCGCAACTCTGGGGCACCGAAGACGCTTCGGCCGAACGCAACACCATGAGCGACCCACTTTCCTCCTGTGTGGAGTGCACTCGTGCATGGAGAGGGTTGGGGCGGGGCACTTTGCAGGACGCAAGCGGGGGAGATGGGCGAGCGACTCCCCAATCAGTACTTGCACCTCGGGGCCTCGCAAAAAACCGTGCTCGCGTGGCGCCCGGGGCCGGCTTGGTATCGCCCCGTCGCCGCCCCGTGGGGTCGCCTCGTCGCGGGCTCGTCGCGGGCGCGTGTGCGGCACACGAGCCCGCGACCGTGCATGGGACTCAGGTTGGTGCCCCTGCACGGCTTTCGTTTTGGTCGCCCCGCCGCCCCCGCGCCGCCGCCCCGTGGCGAGCTCGGCGCCCCGCGTCGCCGCCGCCCTGCTGCAGCACAGCACCGCACAGAGTGCACCACATAGCGCACACCACGTAAACTTGCACAACGGAGTACGCTCATGTATTTATATATACACATTTATACACATATAGATATATAACTATATATGTA